TTGGCACGTACCTGAAGAAGGTTGGCTACAACCAGGACAAGGTGCAGTTCATCCCGATCTCCGGGTGGAGCGGCTGCAACATGATCGAGAAGTCCGACAAGATGCCGTGGTACAAGGGCCCGACACTGCTGGATGCGCTGGACATGCTGGAGCAACCGGTACGCCTGGTTGACAAGCCGCTTCGGCTGCCGCTGCAGGACGTGTACAAGATCGGAGGTATCGGGACGGTGCCCGTGGGCCGCGTGGAGACAGGCGTGATGAAGCCCGGCGACGTTGTGACCTTTGCGCCAGCCAACGTGACCACGGAGGTGAAGTCGATTGAAATGCACCACGAGACCCTTGCGGAGGCTGTCCCCGGCGACAATGTGGGCTTCAACGTGAAGAACGTGTCGGTGAAGGATATCCGCCGTGGTAATGTCTGCGGTAACATGAAGGACGACCCGCCGAAGGAGGCCGCGGAGTTCACTGCGCAGGTGATCATCCTGAACCATCCTGGTCAGATCACCAACGGTTACGCGCCCGTTCTGGACTGCCACACGTGCCACATCGCGTGCCGGTTCGCCGAGATCGAGTCCAAGATTGACCGCCGCTCTGGCAAGGAGCTGGAGAAGAACCCGAAGAACGTCAAGTCGGGTGACGCCGCGCTTGTGAAGATGGTGCCCCAGAAGCCGATGTGTGTGGAGATGTTCAGTGAGTACCCACCGCTCGGCCGCTTTGCCGTGCGTGACATGCGTCAGACGGTCGCCGTTGGCATCATCAAGGCTGTGACAAAGAAGGACAGCGGCGCCGGTAAGGTGACAAAGTCCGCCTCGAAGGCCAGTAAGAAGTAAGGAAAAACTTGCAACGCAGTTTTGTTGAGATTATTATTTTATTATATTTTTTTAACTTTTTTTTCTTTTTTATATTTATGTCTTTATCTTTTTTTTACTTTCATTTTGTATTTCAAATGTTTATATTCATTTTTCATTTTTCTTAGATTTTGTAATTTTTTTGATTAATATTATTATATCTATATATTTTTATTGTAACTTTAGGTTTTTCTTTCTAAATATTTTCAGGAATATATACAGTTTGCTCATATTATTACTTTTATTGATATTAATGGGCGCATGGTTAACTACTTTGAAGCAAATTTTTGGAGTCATATCCGATAATCGAAAGATCCGTGTCTTGATACTTGGTCTTGACAATGCAGGTAAAACTTCTATTCTATATAAGCTCCATTTAGGATGTGTGACTTCGACGGTGCCAACCGTAGGCTTTAATTTGGAAACACTTCAATATAAGAATATTTCCTTTGAAGTTTGGGATTTGGGTGGACAGACTGGAATTCGACCATATTGGAGATGTTACTTTAGCGACACAGATGCAATTGTATATGTTGTTGATAGCACAGATAAGGACCGGATGGGTGTGGCAAAGCATGAATTATATGCTCTTCTTGACGAAGATGAACTAAATAAGAGTCTCTTACTAATATTTGCTAACAAACAGGATTTGCCGGGTGCATCCAGTGAGGTAGAAGTTATGCAGCAACTTGGTGTTATTTCTATTATAGATCGACCTTGGACAGTCATCAAGAGTAGTTCCAAAACAGGGGAAGGATTGGTTAAGGGGATGGATTGGTTAGTAGACAAATTGCGCGAGAAAGGTATTACAAGCGGTGAATAAGTCCAATCACACTTAATATCGTTTTTTTTAGTATATATAATTTTTATAATGTTGAAATTGAACAAAGGATACTAAACAATATACATTTAGTATGTCTCTTTATATTTCTTTAGTATGATCCTATTGATCTTTAAATGATAAAAAGAAATCATTAAAAGGATATGTACCTGTAAGGAATGGTAAGGTGCTTTCTGATAGAGTTACCCATATTTTATTATTGTATATTTTCTTAAATTTTAACTTAAAATAAATATTTTCCTCACTTTTTCCTTTATTATTACCATCTGAACCAAGATTTAACACTCCCAAAGAAGGTGCAGACTACGTATGTATTAAATAGTTGCCTCAACTGTTGATCAATCTGTATTATATATCTATATATATATATAGATATATATATATATATTGAACTTATTGTAAATTTTTAGTTTTCCTTGTGATTAATTCAACAATAATTTTTCATTATTTTTTATTTTTTTGTAAAGAAGGTGTAAATAAAAATGGACTCCAATGCATTACAAGATGCATTTTTGATGCCCACAAAAAATGTCCTTGATAATAAACCCATCGAAAGTCGCTACTTATTGCTCGACTGTCTAGGTAAGGGATCATATGGCACAGTTTGGAAGGCTCAAAATATTCAAACCAAGAAAGTCTTTGCCATAAAAAAGGTTGACAAGACTCGCGTTGGAACGAAAGGTTTACAGGAATTAATGGGTGAGGTTGAGTCCATGAGCATGCTAAGCCACCCAAATATAGTCAAGCTAGAGGAAACTTACCAGGATGATTCGAACCTTTGGATTATAATGGAGTATCTAGCCTGCGGCACTCTTGATCAAATGCTAAAAAAAAAAGGTTCTCTTTCTGAGGCTTCGATCAAAAATATTGTCACTCAGCTATTACTGGCACTAGAATATATTCACAGTAAAGGTATTGTCCATCGCGACTTGAAGCCAGCCAACTGCCTTATCTCTGAGGATGGCAGCACAGTGAAGATATCTGATTTTGGCTTTGCCGTTCTAGCGGGAAGTGAGCAATGCTTGACCACTTACTGCGGGACTATTTCCTTCATGGCTCCCGAAATTCTTATGAAACTCAATTATGGTAAAAAAGTTGACATGTGGGCCTTGGGGATTCTTACTTATCTTCTTTTTTCTGGTGAGTACCCTTTTAAGGGAGACAATTCTAGTACCCTCCGACGTGAGATCTGTGCAAATCATTCTTGGGTAAATCGTAATAAGCAACTTAAGGAAGTCCCACAGTTGTATGATTTCATTAACAGATTACTCAGATTTGAACCAATAAAGCGTATGACTGCTAGAGAGTCATTACAGCATCAATGGATTAAATCAAGAATGAATTCGTTTAGAGACTTTGTTTCCTTTGCACCGTGCTTACCGTTAGGTGAATTTGGCACATATTCACCAGGTGGAATCAGACTGGTGAGCCGGTTTAGATCAGCAGTGGTAGCAATCCTAGCGGTACACCGATTAGTCTATTGGCAGCGATGCCGTCGGCTTGAAAAACTTGGTTATGGTCATATAAGTGTGTTACGAAACCTACATTACTTTGTGACCAAGTGCTTTGAACCCAAGTGGAGCGGAAAACCGGTATTCTACTGTGGTCACATGTTTGCGCAGTGCCCTATGGCAATTACAGAGTTATTACCCATGGTTGCCGCGTCAAAGTCAATAGAAGAACTCAACTTGAGCCACAACAATATTAATAGTCTTAGCCTTGTGCAGGATATATTGCTTACAGTCGCACACCATCCAAGTGTTGAGGTTATTAACCTGTCCTATAATCCAATTCCTGCTGTAGCTGGACGTGGTTTGTTGCGACTAGCGCGTAATACCTCGTCAAAGTTGCGTCGCATAGAAGTCATTGGTACTCCAATTGCAATAGATGTTGTTAAGCAATTAAGTACACTTTTAAAGGAAAAGAATGCACCAATTACATCCGTAAGTACAAATGTTTCTACAACATGTACATCGAGTGCTGGAAAAGCAGGGTCATACTTTTCAAAAAGGAGCACTAAAAATTCCACGATTCCACGGCTTCCAATTCACAATCCTATCCACAGTAGTGACACTGCCCTTCGGGAACAACCCACTCCAAACAAGAAATTAGGTGAAAAGGATGAAATAAAGCCAGACCAGTTGCCCTACATTATGAAAAGCGGTTGCTTACATAGTACTATTAAACGGAATTTGCGTTTATCAAATACAAGAAAAGATTAAGGGAAAAATCTTAGTAGTTTATATCAAAAAATATATAGAAAAATAAGTATGTATGAATATCCCTATCAACATTTTTGCGCCATTTATTTTAACTCGATAAAAAAGTTTAAACGGACACTCAATTGTGTCTAAATGAAGAAGTACTGTGTATACCACGCAATAATTATAGGCAAAATGATTAAATTTCCAATATTTTTATTTGCACTTTGAAAAATGCCATCTAAAGGTTAAAGTTAAAAGTTATTTAAACTTGCACTATTTCTTCAAAGGACCCAATTTTGATGTCGGACAACATAAGTCCTAGTAGTGCACTGGTGATATGGAGCAGCGCAGGGCGACGGTTGCAATTCTCCAGAAAGGACTTGTCCATGCCAAAGCACATTCAGACCTTTCCCAATTATGACTTCTTCAGGAAACAATGGGATAAGGTTTCTGGTTTTTGGTTCAATCGCGTTTTAAAAGAAGCATCTTTACAGCGAATTCAGGTGAGTGACATTGTAGCACTTATAGAAAAAGACATCGCGCATCGTTGGGAACAACGAAAGATGGAGAAAACTCTTTACAAGAAAAAAAGGCGTCTTCTTTCTGAGAATGGGCCTGCTGGGAGGCCGTCCACACATATTTTAATTACCAATATTTGTAGCCTGCCTTCATTTTCTTCGTCTTCTGATGATGATAAACATGAGCTAGTTAAGAATATTTTGAAGCAGGTGGAGACAGCATGCAAAGGGGTTGTCCAAGACGTGAAAGTTTTAATTGATGATGATGGTTCTTCAAAAATAGACAATTATACTAAGAAAAAGGCAGCTATTGAAGAGGAAGGGAATCGCGAGCCAGTAACAAAAGAGTTCGATGACCATGTGGCAGTTGTGTGTACTCTTGAATCCAAGGAGAAAGCGGCACTAGTGGTTGCGACTCTTCACGGAGCTAGATTTGATGGGCACACTGTTGTTTGTTGTTTTTACGAATCTTTAAATCCAGGGGAGGGGGCATGATGAGTCTAGTCCCTCATGCATTTTTCCATAACATTCTTTAGAACATTGACATTTTATTATATCCCTACAATGTTGAGCATGAATCTTCAATCAATGGCACCAACCGGTATCTGTCATCAGGTTATAAAATATTTCCAATAAGAAGACTGTATAAAAATAATTCATTGATAAGTTCTCATTTCACAAAATGGTATTAGTGCACCGTATTTACTTTTTTATTCTACTTAGGGGCTTTTAGATAAACAGTTTAGCTCTTTCCTTGTGTATCATTGGATAGGTGTTTTTGTTTTTAATTGAAAAAAATTGGTATCTATACAAAGTAGATAGGTAAGCATATTTATTGAATATAGATCACCAACTAAAACGTTGGTGTGATTTCTTCTTCTCCCTCTTTACATACATACATTATTTACATATATATATATATATATTATATACAAAACCGTTTTCGTTTTTTTATTGCCATCATCTTGTGCAAACGAAAATGTCACATTCATCTTCGCATCTTGATCAATTGATGCAAAAAAGTAGAACTTCGGAAAGTAAATACGCCACACGTTTACTTTCCACGACACCTCCTAAACAACGTAGTGAGCACCGTAGCCAAGAAAATCTTTATTCAAACACGACTGAAGAAGAAAGCGACATTGATATTGACGAGGTCGAAACTTTTGTTGTGGGTGAGTATAACTTTTCAGTTTGTCCTATATGCCTGGAGCACTTTACCATGCACAATCCAGCCATTATTGTGCATTGCGAGCATGGCTTTCACCTTCAGTGCCTGGAGTCCTGGCGTCAGCGGTCGGCGGCCTGCCCAGTCTGTCAGCGGCCGCTCGACGGTGACGAGGGCCGGTTGATGGAGGCTCGCGATACGAGACGGCGTAGGCGCTTTCGGGGAGTCTTCCCATCTAATGGATTAGAAATATTGGGGTTGAACAAAAAGCTCTATGAGAGCGCAGATATGGGTGATAGCGTTGAAAATAGTGCCACATGCAAAGAGGCTGATGTTTACTCCACTTTCCTTCCTTGCACAAGGACTACCGAAGAAGGGGGACATCTGAGACAGGAAGTGAGTGGAATTAGACTCTGGCGATGGCTTTCCAATTGGTGTTCACGGATTTAAAACGACCTTATTGCCTGTTTACTCTTGTTCATATCAGATCCCCCCCACATGCTGAGAAAAATAGTCCTTGTACGCTTTTTTATTATATATTTGTTGTAACGTTTTTGATTCAATTCAGAAGGCTTTCCTTCACTCACTGCAATAATTTTAAATCCAAAATATCTGGAATTTTTTATGCGATGTTTTTTAGCACACTTTGTTTTCTAGGAATATGTTATGGGATAGAGCCTTATTTCCAACATTATCTATGTGTTTGCCGGAAAAGCTTATAAGCAAGAAAAATTTCTAGACATACTTCTCCAATTTATTTCGGTATTGTTATTCTTTACTATCAAGATTTTGTTTTAGAGGTTTTAATGTATCCCATCCTCCTTCAAAGAACGTATAAACTGATAACTGATGGGTTATTTTGAAGCAGGGTAATATTCTTTAAACTTTGCTTTTAGGATTGTGTATGCTATGCAACTTAGTGAGACCGGTGGTTACTCTTTTTCTATTACAAAATTATGCCTTATTATTGTGATGCATTGTCGTACATGATAAAGTGATTTGTGCTGCACATTAGAAGCGACTCTAAGAACTACAATGCCATTTTTTACCCCGATGATTATCGCAAATAGCAATACTTACATAGTATTTTTGTACAATGCATAAATTTATATTAGGAATATCAGTCTTATTATTAAACGTATTAAAATAAGTCCAAAATTACTCGATTTATTAGAATATTGAACATACCAGACTGAAACAGAGATGTCGCGGCTATAAGGTGTAGGGTTAGTCATGCAAGTGTCCTTTTTAGGTTATTTAGAATAAACCTTGTAGATGATATAAATACTGCAAGACTCAGTTCAATAATTTTATGCCTTCATAGTATTTTTTTTCCCAAGGGTAAACCATTTCAGACGGTAAAAATAGCGCTTTTTTTCGCTCAGGACAGATTCAGGCGAACATCACGTCATGCCACAACACATGAATCCGTATTTTACTCACACGACTTCGTTAAGACCAGCAATAAGAACGTCCTCCAAAACGTTTTCATTCTTCACTTTTTTGTCACTTTAATTAGGTTGATGGGCTCATAATGTTAGATTTTATTTTTCTTTCCCCTTAATGGATTAAAATGATGGCCTATTTTTAGATATTCGAGTGTGTGGTGCAAAGGTTCAATGCATACAGGTATAATAATAACAACTCAAAAATTACTGTTTAGATAAAGACTGAGAACCACATGAAATTTATCATGATCAATCTCTTTTGACCGTACTTGTTTAGTAATTTTGGAGGAAAGCGGGCTGCTAGTCTTAAACCGATAAATAAGGTGCTTTTTGAATTTCAAGAAGTTATATCTATTTTTTATTTATCTGTTCAGAAGTTACACTTTTATTTTAAATGACACGATCTGGAGATTCTTCAGTGATCCTTTTTTTGATTACGGTCATCACACATTTGGCGTTCTTTCCACCAATGTATCTATACTACAAACGCGGCTATTTTTTCGAGCTCTCAGTCTCAATTTTCGGCTTCGTAGCATCCTTTATGTATCACACATGCGAAGATCTTGATATGATTATCTTCTTGTCGGAGAGACAGTGGCATCGCCTGGACAATATTGGCGTTATTACCACTTTAGGAATTCTAGATATCTTTGTTGCTCGTCTCACCAACAAGGTAATAGAGAGCTTATGCAAATATTCGATTGTTTTTTTCACGATCATTATTCAGCAGAAACACCCATGGGATGTGCGTCTCACAGTAGCCCCAATTATCTTGTTTATTCTTATACCTGTGGTAAACCATTGCTTCGTCAATAGATATTTACCGTCCGTTAATATACACTATTTTTTAGTGGGACTTGGGATCCTAGGGGTAGCGATTGCATGTTTTGTGAAGGGTCTTGATGATGAGGATCCTTATCGATTATTTCACGGTTTATGGCACTTTTTTGGCGGCATTAGCGTTACATTTTTTTTGCAAATGTTTGATTCTCCTACCAACTCGAAGAGCGGCTTCAAGTCTTCATCGAGTTTTTTTAGAAACAAGTAGGCGACTCTTTAATTTAAAGATCTGGATTTGCTAACTTCCCTATAAAGGAGGCTAATATCTTATCACAATTATCTGAATTTCTTTTTTTGATTTCTCTTTTAAAGCTATTTCACATCTATGCATACCTTTCTGTACTGATTTTGTGTGATTTTTACAATTTCTTCTGCTTGGCTTTATATTTTTAGCTCCTCCCCTCACCTCCCATCCCTAATCATTATAAATACAGGTAATATATTATCCACTTACATCAAAGAAGGAAGCAATATGAGCTCCTCTATTTTAGTGTTTACTATCTTTTTATTGATCTTTGGACAATTTGAAGTATTATCGGAAGCGTCCGTCATGATAGAATATTCAAAGGAGCAACTGTTTCTCCTCAAACGTCGTGGCCTCAGCGTTCCTGATAATCTTCCGGAAGTTCCAGGAGCACCTTTTTTGTTCTCTGCACCCGATAAAACAAGTCTGACAGAAAAACTGACGCTTATACTGTTTTCAAAAAACATGAATCGAATCTTGAAAGAACATAACGCTACTTGTCCTGGCCACACCATGATGCAAAATATCTCCCAGCGAGCGGCAGAGGCACAAAGCTTGCCATTCTTTGATGACCATGTCATGCAAGAACTTACAATAATAGAAACCTTACCTTTTAGTCCAGAATGGGTTTTGTCAAATATACTTGGTTTGACCGAAATGATTTACAACCTGAAGTGCGAAATGCGTGGAGAAGATGAAGCAATTTTTTGCCTTCAGAACTGACTTGATGACAAGTTGCGAATGATGACTAAAATCCAATAATGTAAGGATCTAGTTTCCTGGCATGCTTCGTTATCTTTCATGACTAATGATCAAGCCGATATTCTAAGTAGTTTTTTTGTGTGTATGCACTTTATTTTAATATATTACTCTTTTTACATTTCTACCTATTTACTGACAGATTTTTATAGCATAGTACAAATATATAACCTTGCTTTGCCATTGTGTTTGCTTTTTCTGAAATATATTAGAATGTTGGTATATAATGAGAAAGGTGAATGTGAAAACCCAACATAAAAAAATTCACTATATCGATCTTCAGTAAGTATTCCAAAAGGATTCCATGAGTTATATTTATCTCTTTTCTCTGATATGGCTATATTCAGTTTTACGTTTTCAAGAACAAGTAAGCTTACTTTCCTTTACTATTATTATTAACTTTAATTGAATTACCCCATTTGCAATGAACGACGATCCCAAAGCGCGCGGTGCACTGCAAAAGGCTCAGGAGCTCAAGGCGAAAAAAGACTACGTGAGCGCCATTGAGGTTCTTCTTTCTCTCCCCGGAGGAAGCTTTAACCCCACATACACACAATGTCTCGACCTCTTGGTTGAGTTGTGTTTATGTTATGGCGCTGGTAAATATGTTCAGCGCTTAGATCTTGCGAGGGCGCGCAGTCGACTTCGTGGAAGTCAACAACTGGAAGAGGGTGCTTCCAAGTTGGTGGATATTATCATCCGACACTTCAGCATGATGTGCCAAATTTCGGAAACTACTATGGCATCTATAATTGAGAAGAATTCCGAGGACGACGTAATCATGGCCGAAATCTCTTGCGTTTCTATCCAGCAACGGGTCCATAAACAGTATCAATTGCCGTGTCAGCGGGCGGCAGAACAACTTGCGAAGGAATTATTCCGAAATGGTGCCATTGGGACGTCCAAAAAGGTTTTTGGCCTATTCTGCGAAACCGCCATTAAGTTTACTAATTTATGCCATGCACATAAACTAACAAAGTCCATCGAAATAACGTCTAGCCTAATCGCGTCGACTTTTCAAAACCTGATTACCAAGACCCATTCCTCCGCGTTAACTTCCTATGAGCGCAGTATTCAGGCCGACCGAAAGGATTTCTTCAAGTCTGAAACGAGTGGCGGCGAGGTGGTACGGGTGCTCTGCCATTTGCTGGACTTGCTCACTCAGAAGTGCAGCTGGACGCAGACGTGGTTTGTGCTGAACTGCCTCAAGCAAGTCAGCGACGAGCTCTATGATAAAAAAGGCGCGAAGGACTTGAAGATGATCGCGTACAAGAAGATGGCGGACGTGTTCTGGGAATGCAGGCTATATAATTACCACGCCCACTGCCTTGCTATTGCCGCGGCGCAGGAGGAAGATGGGCACCGGACCCTTGCAACCCGTGCAGTGCTCGCCGTGCTTGCGGGTGAGAGCCAGGTTGAAGAGGAGAACCCATTTTCCGCGCGAAATGAGAACCCGGTCCATCCCGACGTGGTCGAAACGTTTGAGAACCCCAATATAACCAAGGCCGCCCTTCTTGCCCGCTTGAAGCTTGACAACGTACTGGCATCCGCTGATCTCGACGCGTTGTTCCTCGTGAAGGCAGTTGAGGGCACGGAACAGCTCAACAACGCATCGATTGAGTTTAGGACGCTTTACAAGAAGCTATCAGGTTTAATCCAAAGGGATCCGTCCTCCTTGCAGATGTACGAGAAGCGGATCCAGCTGAATTTGCTTTACCTTCAGATGGGTCTTCTTTCAGAAAATCACAATCGCGTCCAAGTGCAGTTGTCTTTTGTTTTTAACAGTGAAGGCAAGGATATTACCGACTTGGAATATGTTAATGTCGTGGAGCCGGCAATTCTGAAAAATAACGCGGTCCCGGTAGAGATTGACAGCAAATCAAAGACAATTTACTTTCGCAACTCCACCATGTCCAAGCTTCTACGGGCCTTCACGACGATCGCAAGCGAAGTGGATCCTGAAACGCCTTTGAAAACAAATCCTACCTCCCTAAGCTCAATTGGTGTGGAGGAGCTTCTTGCGGCGCAGCGCCACTCGCAATATTTGAACTCACTGCAAATGGCCTGTTGTAAGGGAGTACATGCCCGATCCAAGGAGCGCCTCAACAAGCTGGAGCAGGCTCGGCAGAAGAAAATCGAAGACCGTAAGGAACAAGAGGAAATCAAGCGCGCAAACGCGATGAAAATCAAGACTTCGAAACTATATGCAGAGTACCGAGAGCGCCAGCGACAAGAGCGGAGCAAGCTGGTAGTGGCCAAACTGCGTGTGAAGTACCCTGGTTTTAAGGTGGACAGTGCTATTTGTATGAAGAGCTCGGGCGCCTTTGAAGATGAGCTCACGCAAATCTTGGCCGCATTTAAGCGAAAGAACTCAGAAAGCGATCGGAAGGAAGCACTTATGATGAATCTTTACGAGAAAGCCCTTCGACAGCTCGAAATACCTAAGCTCAAGGAGCAGCAAGCGTCGAACGCGGAGCAACTTCGCGCCGAGGCCGAGGCCGCAAAAACCAATATTCTCATGCAGCATCGGAAGGAGTTTGAGCGCCGCCAGGAAGAGAAGATGGTCCTGAAGAAATTCCTGCCTGACGAGGAAGCCTTCAAAGACCAATGGTTGCGCCACAGCACACAGGGCAAGGTATCGAAGTGGGACGAACAGCAAAACCTCTTGGAACAGGAAATGCAGCGTCTCGCCGCACAACAAGGAGAGTAGTAATCAGTTTGGCTTTTTTCTTGGGGAGGAGGGTGAGATCCTTTTGAAATTATAATTAAGAACAAAGTACTAAGAAAAGATCAGACAGGTTGATTTTTAATTATCTAAATTTTTAATATAACCCAAAAATAAAGTAATCGAAATTATGTTGCAGCTTGTTTATTTGTTGATGTTATTGGTCTGTCATAAGTAGGAAAAAATAGGCAAGCGCTGCGAAGTAACATATTTTTATCTTTCTACTTTTTTTCCATTTTGAATTATATATACTCAAAATAAGATATTAGGAGTCATTTAGTTTCTAGAATTTGAAAGTGGCAATCAATGAGCATATTTTATTTAACATCAAATGTATTGAATGAAGTTTCTTTGTGCACAGAGCATTACTATTACGATGACACGCACTTGGAGGAGTTGCCCAAAAGCAGATGATAATTGAATGTATAGCACGAAAAAATCAGAGTTGCTATTTTTGCCTTTCAACTAACAGCGTAGTTTGGGGGCGAATTCGTGTTAGAGATCTTCATCCTAACCGTTCCGTACAGATACCATGAAGACTGGTATATCGTACACATATCACTAGGTATAGCTCGTGGGGTAAACAATGGTGTGACTTTTTTAAAAAAATATATCGTCGTCCACAAACATTTTAAGTCCAAAAAAGACAACATTTCCCCTATTACTTTTCCTTTGTACAATTATCTGTAAACCTTCAGTTATAGTATTAGCTAGAAGCAGAATTATCTTTTTTGTTATCCTTCCCATAACATTCACTAATCCACTTTTCTTCATTGAAGTTGGCCAGCCTTATCTTCCAGTCCTTGTAAGATTCGGCATCGAGCCTGACTTTTTTGAAGTTGACTTTTTACTGTTTATGTTTAGTTTTGACGTTCTTTGCTTGTCTGCGTCTTTGAAGGTTGATGAGACTTCGGCAGCAAGAACCGTGTAGAATATCATTTCATATTTGCTATACTAATTCAAGTGCAATATGGTCCGTTGATCAGGAGCAGAACGAGGTGTCACTCAACATTGACGATGGGATTGTTAAGGGTCTAAAGATCCGACGGGAATCGATCTCGATTCTCTCCCCTTATTTACTCAGAGAACTTCAGTTCAGTGTTGCTTTAGGAAGTGCCACCGCACGTGGCGCCAGGTAGGAGGAACTCACTGAGAAACATTATTTACGATTGAGAAACAGTTAAGATAAATTCAAAATGCATGATAATTTACTACATAGTTTTCTATCTTTTCGAACTTGAACTCTGACTAATTCTATTCTTACCCCCTTCCTCTTCCTTTTCCACTTTTTGTTCTATTTGAATTTATATAAATACTACGATAACCCATATTTCTTCGCTATATTCTGAATCATAAATAATCAGTGTTCCAAAGGCTTTACAAAGAAGCAGGCTATAATAATGACATCACTAACATCCTCTATACAAAAGCATTGTAAAGGTTATATTTCTAAGGCTCGTCTCCGGCGGTTGCATGGCATTTGGTTCATCGGCACGCTTTTCCTGATCCTTTGGTTATTTTACGCTGGTGATTCAAACCAGATCTCTTTTGAACCCTCCGTACTTTCGAAAAACGAAATTCAAGAAATATTTGTTCGAACCACAGGGCCTCGCGTCGTCATCTTCGTTATGAGTAATAAAATTGATAATACCCTTTGTTATTCAGTGGGCTCAGCCTACCTAAGCGGGTTTCCCATTGTAGTAGCTGGCTACCAAATGGAATACAAAGGGTTTCTATCCAAGTTCGACTTCGCGGAAAGTGCCATGAAGAATGCGCAACTGAATCCGGAAGATATCGTCATTTTAATGGATTCCGACACGGTTTTTACGGGTGTGGACATTCACCCATTCCTCGATCATTTCATCGCACAGTCCGCCATGGCGCCGGAGGAGCTGGACGCGCTGGCTGTGCGACAGGGCCGTGCGATGGCACCGATCGTAGTTAGCGCTGAGGCTGGCTGTTGGACACCGAATTTATACGTTGACAATGAGAATTGTGCAATTGGGTATGAAGCTATTCATAAAAAGGTTCGTGCGTACGCAGCCGCACACCCAGAGCATAAGCTCCCCTCGTTTTTTGACTTATCATCGCAACGGTATATCAACGCTGGCGTTGTGATTGCGCGCGTGTGGGCGTACAGGGAGTTAGTGCAGAAGGCTGATAATTTAACCAAAACACAACCTGCAAAACATAAGCCCGAAAAAGGATGGCACTGTGATCAGTCTATTTTCGCAGCGCTGTACCTGGATCTCTTAACCTGGGAAGTCGAACGGAATATTTTTTCGATGCAATTGCATGAGCGCCAGGCGGCGAGGTCAACTTACGGTGTGCGTGCAGGTTTCATTGGTTTAGATTATGCCAATGAGCTTTCAGCTCCTCGCACGAATATGTATATGCACCTAACTGAACTGCAGGATAAATACTGGGTGAAATATTTGCCACAGGATGAAATTGGGCAAACACACTCAGAAATGATAAACGATATCAATGTAGCAATTCGGTTTGTGAGTGATCTTTACAAGCGAGCATACGCTGCACACGGTGAGGAGATTTACACGAGGCTTGCCGTACCCAAGTGGGTGAACGGGAAAAGGACCTCTGGGAAGACCTTCATCAGCCTCACGCCACCTCTTCTGGCAACCGAGCTTAGGTCCATAGATGTAAGTAACAACAACGTGCGTCGTACGTTCCCAGTGATTTATCATGCGGCAGGTACTGAGGCAGGCTACACGAAGGTGGGTAAGTTGGAGCATGGCGCTGTGGGTGCGCCGTGGCTTGTGCCGATGGTGCACAACCCCAAAATAGAAAAGCAAAGCATGGAATACCTGGTATCCATACCGTTGTTTCTATCGACACATAACTTTATTATTCGAGATTGTTTCTATACCAAATGCGGCTTCCCATTTAAAAGAACTATTGAAAAAGCACAAAGTGCCTGAGCCATTTTCATTTTTGACAACATACACC